TCCCTCCCATCCCCATTATTCAAGGCGATCCCCCGGAAGGCGATCCCCGACCGGCTCCCGGTGTCTATGGCAAAGGCGGAGAGAAGAAGCGAAGGATCGCGTCCGGGAGGGAGCTGGGATGCGGCAGTGCGAGCAGCCAGCTCGCCATAACCACACACCCGGCTACAACTTAAAAAGGGCTTCCAGCAACCACCCGGATCATAAAAATATATATACATCTATATATTTACCCATACACACCCCCTCCCCCCCTCTTTTCGCACGCAAAAGCCCACGATAATTAATAAAAACGGCTTGAAAACGCCAGTTTGGTGCCACGATCCGCGGCAGCCCCCGAGCTTCCCCGCCTTTCATCTAAAACTAGATGATGATTGTGTCATTTGAGGTCAATACATTTATTCACCGGAGGAATCGCTCCACAAATCTGGGTTTTAGAACCCAAACGGGATAAACGGCTTCCCCCCGTTCGGAGGGGCCTCCGAAAACTCCCCCACCACACCACCAGAAAAATAAAATTCAGTATCACATTTGTTTCGAAAGCCTCGCAGCCGAAGGATTAGCGATAAACTTGACATTCACTGCCATTTCCTAAAACTGGGAGTCAAACGATATATGTTATGACCACTTACGTATTTCTTTTGAATTATATTCCTCTTGGGTCTTTCTTTGCTCATTCTGGTATCCAAATTCTGATTGCAAAAGGGGACAATTGCTTCATGAATTAAAGCCGCGACAATTTAAAAAAAAAAAAAAAAAAAAAAAATACGAAAAAAATCCTGGGGGGAGGGGGTTGTTTGTAGTGGTATCTTGTAATCCGACTTTCTTTCCTCACAATGTGATTCTCCTAGCAATAAATCCGAGAAATGGGGGACGAAAAAATAAAAAAAAAAAAATAGACGAATGCGAAGGAAACAACAACAAAAAAAAATCACTTTAGTGAAACATTATAATGGAAAATTTCCCCCCTTAACACACACACAAAAAAAAATTAAAAAATAAAACAACCCACGACGCCCTTGATATCCCCTTTTCTCTTTCCCGAGCCACCTAAGCGATCTGCAGGTCCTTAGTGTCAGGGCTGTAGTTACATCTTGGAGAAGGAAAAAAGGGGGCCGAGAGGAGAGAGGGGAAAAAAAAAAAGAAGAAAAAAAGAAATAATCGCCGAGGCTGGGCAGTCACGTTCGTGCCGCTGCAGCAGCGAAGGGGAG